CTAAAATTCTGAAATGAGAGCCTAGTGATACTAATAATTTACATAAGAATTTACAACTCACAAGCTATACAATAAAGTTTCTTTATTCTCTTGTTTAAAACCTTAAGGATAACTTCTAGCTAGTTTCCAACTCTTTACAAAGACCTTAGGTTTCCGGTTCAATACCTGCAAGATCTATAAAGGGGTGAGCGAAACCATAGCTTAATAGGAAAATAAACCTCATCATGAATAATTGATCAGACTAAACAAAATGACACACAACCATAGATTTCAATCTTGAGAGATTAGAAACAATAATTTCATGATAATGCATGAATGTTCCCTAATCCCACCTCTATTCTCATTAATCCATACTCCAAAGCACACAAGGCCTCACACGTTCCATACCGTGCTTTGGACTCGAGTGTCTTGTTATATAAATTGACACCCATTAAACAAAACTTGTTTGCCCCCTAAATTCGCCATGGGCCTTGAGAGCATGTTGGAAATTTACTCGAAAAAGAAACTGGTGGTTGAGAGCGTGCCGTTACTACTTGCTACTAGTAGACGGGATTTGAATGATTGACAACCAAAGGGGGCTATTTAGCCCCCTCAGTAATTTGTTATTTTAAGTTTGTTCTTTAATTTCATTGGTTAATTGAATTAAACTACCATGTGAGGTATAGTTTTATTGTTTGGCTTCTCTTGTCAAATGTTGTAGATTGTACCACACATGCTCTAATTAGTTTTAGGGTTAAAATACTTGTTTGGGATCATGCTGCTGGAAATTTTCATCTTAAGAGCTTAATGTCTCTCATCAAAGGTTTGTTCATACATATGCATTTCATGCCATTATTTCTAGTTCATTATGTCTAGTGGTTCTGTCTAGTCAAAACTTCTCGCTGCTATCCCACGAGTTGGGCATACACTTTAACATAACCCATATGGGCTTTCTGTCAGCCTTTTCTTCGAGAGTGTTTTTCAACCCTAGATCTTTTTAGATTGTGTGTGCACATGACACGTGTCTCTTCTTGTCTCCTTTCTTGTATGAAAATAAAGCCTACTATAAAAGCTTCATCTAGGGTTTCATTTTCATTTGGCTAGGTGATTTATTTTTGAGAATGATTATTTTCAGCTGGGAGCTGCTCTTTTATTCTTACTAGAAAACCTTAGCCATAAGATCACATTCATGCACTAAATACCAAGATCATTACATATTAGGGCTGCATTATTTTTGTGGTTTTGATCTTTGTTTTAGATTAGGCTTCTCCAGTTTCAAATCGTTGAGTTGACCTCTTTTTGGATTCACGTCAATTTCATCTTTCAATGTTTATGTTTGACTGGTGAAACCGACTAGACATCAAATCCTGATTTGCATCAACTTCATCATAACATCATTTGCATAAGTTGGTTGGATTTTCAGTGCCACAAGGTGAAGAGCTCAGGAGGAGCTACCACTTTGTGAAGATTGAAGGAGTTCATCTCGTGTAAAGTAAGGTTGCATGAAGATTTTGAAATTGCAGGTTATTCCACCTAGTACCAATTTCATACCATATTAAAATAAGGTTTCCAGACATATTTTGAGTGCCACTTGTCGCTAAATGAATAAGGCTTCGCATTTCTTATCTTGATATAATCTCAATAATTTTTCAGATATGATTTCGAGTGACACGTGTCGCTAAAGTGGAGATTGTGTTGTTATTTGTTAAATGTTGTTTAAGATTCATTTTATTAAATATTTTAATTTTACTTGCATGTTAACAACTTAGACATTAAAATGAATTAAGATAGTATGGAATGGTGAAAATGATGTGAGAAATCGTGTAGAAATGACTCAGGTATTTATGGGAAAAAATAGAATTTTTTTATTTTATTTATAAAATTTCGTCTTAAAGAAAGAAAAAAGCTTACATGACGTTAGTTGACGTCAGCTAGTAGCACAACTAAACCCAACTAAACGGGCTGGCTGGCTGGTTATCCCGTCCATTTTGCTGGATTTTGGCTCGGTGGGTCCCAAGATTTTTGGCCCAAACCTCCATAGGAGATGGATTTTGTGTCAAAATGGGCTAACATTTGGCTTATGACCCTTTAGCCTACCAAGTTGGAGATGACCTTAATGTTATAATAAAATACATGCATTTTTTTGGAGCTATAATGCATGTATCCCTGCCTTAAGTTTGTGGCTTATGATTATCTGAATCTTTTAGCTTTTTAGGAGTTATCATGTAAGTCTTTATTTCATTTGTCTTTTCATATTTCTCATTTAAGTTGTAAGCATATAAATACAAGTATTTGTAAGGCCGAAGGAAGATAAGTTGTTTGAATTATCATATTAAAATTTGAGTTGGAACCTGGTTTTTGTGCCTTTCTCTTGTTAAAGAGTTTGAAGCTTGGTTCTTCTAGTTGTCTACGTTGTAGGCTGGTATTAGAACCAAAGTGTATAGGGTTTCAGGTCTCCTTGCATTAGGAGATAGTAGACCCTACCTATCTATCTTATTTCTTTGTTTTATTTTCATTTTTATTTACCACTACGTTGTGCCCTGCATCAGTTGGTTATCAGAGCTTGGTTACGTTCTTTAGGATCTTTCCTATCTCTGATTACTAACTGATGCAGGGCGCATCGTGGTGGTAAATAAAAATGAAAATAAAATAAAAAGATAGGATTGGATAGATAGGAAAGGTCAACTATCTCCTAGTGCGATGGGAGACCTGAAATTATCCTCGTTTTGATTAATGGAAGATTCAGAGTATTTCTCTCCATCATTTTAGTGTCTTTATCTTGTTTAACAGTTTGTTATTTTGTTCATTTAGTTGCCTACATCGTAGGCTGGCACTAGAAAGTTCTTAGAATTTTCAAATCTCTCCTTACACTAAAAGATAATGGATCCTACCTATCTATCCTATTTTTTTTTCTTTTTTATTTACTACCAAGCTACTTCTTGCATTAGTTGATTACCAAAGCCCTAATCGATATTTGGGTGATCATGAAGTTTGTTTGTACCATACTTAGGGCCTTCGTATTTAGACCTCGTATAAATACTCGGGGGACTCAAATGTAATTATGTAATAAATGAAGGGGCAAATATATAATAAGTGAGGAGCCCTTATTCTATAAAAGGACTCCTCACTCTCCTCATTAGGGGAGGACAAGATTGAGGTCAAGGCTTAGGGCTGGTTTGGTATTGCTGTGCTTTGAAAAAAAGTTGTTGTGAGAATAAGTGGCTGTGCTGTGAGAATAAGCGGCTGTAAAATAAATCAGAAGAGTGTTTGGTAAACTTTTTTGTAAAAGTGCTTTTGGAAAAAAAAAAAAAGCAGTCTGATAGTGGGTCTTTTCATTAAAGGAGCACTGTAGCTTCGTGTGCTTTGAAAAAAAACCAGTTTTCCAAAGCTGCAAATAGCAGCTTCAGCTTTTTCCTTTGATTTCAGCTTATTCTCACAGCAGCTTCCAAAATAAGCCATTTTTTTTTCAGTTTACCAAACACCTAAAACCCTCCCAGCTTTTTTTCATGGATGTTTTTTTTTTAAGCATCTTACTCCCAAACCACCCCTTAGGCCACAAAAAATGGGCTAGAGAGAAAATAGGCTAGAGAGCATACTGCCTCTAGCCTTCTTGTATATTCACCATTCAAAATGAAACAATATCAACATCAGTGTGGACGTAGCCCAAACATTGGGGTGAACCACGATACATCTTGTGTTCTTTACTTTCTTGCAGATTCACGGTCAGATTTACGTTGTTCCAAGACCATATGGTTTTGTGCATCAACAAAGTTAATCGTTGTAAGGATTATAATTTTGCCCTATACTTGATGGAGTAAATGGAGATGAAGTTTTAGGTTCAATGATTGAACAAATTTTGAGAAGCTAAACCTGGTGGTAAAACCCCTTATTGATTTCCCTAACTTTTATGTTTATGTTTGGGAATCATTCATTGCTTGTCATGTTACAAGATTTTATTTGGAGCAAAGAACTTTTTCACATTATTCAAATTATCTCTACAGTTTTTCAAGTCATAAAATAAAGATATTTCTTGGAAATTATATGTGCTTTCTATTTCTAATACAACTGCTCTCATCAAGAAAAGATTAAAATCTATATGGAACATGAGAAAGTAGCATACAGAAAAAAATTATTTGAAGTGCTCTAGAATCTGGAGTCCTTTGAAAATTTGTGCTTTTACATGGCTATTGTGGAAAATGTTTGGTTGGACATCCAAAAGATCAAGAAAGACTAAACAAAACTCGAGAATGAGTTTTCTTCAAGAGTGGGACAATGATGTAGGCCATGGACCAAAGACATTATTATATTTAATAAGTGGCAGCTGAAATTTATGTATTATAATATTTTTCATTTTAAGTTGTAAGCTTGCATATAGTTGTATTTGTAAGGCAGAAAGGGAAAATTGAGTACATAATTTGTCACATTAGCTATTATAATATAATTATACTTATTTTATTTGTCTACAACGGAGATGATCTAACTATGCTCTAAAATCACAAGTCCAATGTGCCTTTGTCCTAAGGATGCGAGTAAATCGTGTAACTCACCATAAAGAGCGTGTGAGGAACGCGCAGCTGATACTTGTACCCTCCTTTCGTAGCTGCCAAAGTTTTGCTCTCGAGATCGTATAATTAAGTGAGTGATTGATTGATGATGGTACTACTACCACTAACTTTGGCTGGCTGTTGAATGACAAGAGAGCTTGCATCCTGCGGCTATAAGTTGTCGTGCGAGTCTGGAAATGCTTTTAAAATAATTGAGAGTATTTTTAATGAAATTAATTTTGAGTTTCAAAAGATTTTTAGAAGAAGTACAAGATATGTGGTTTTTGCAAGAAACATTTAAAGTGTTTTTTGCAAGAAGCATTTAAAAGTACTTCTTCAAAATCTACTTGAATTTTTAATAAGAATTCATTTTAAAAATATTTTCACTTTTAGCTAAAAACGCTCTCAATTATTTTAAAAACACGTCGAAATTTTAACACTCAATCACTCTCCTTCAAATCCGGAAAATAGAAATAAAAACTAAAAAGAATAAAAATGAGGAACAAGAAACAAAGAGAAAACAAGATCCACCTCGAACCTCACTCCTCCTCACCCTCCTCCGTCCTCTTCCTAAGCGCATCGATCATCAAGCATCAATCATCGATCATCAAGCATCAATCATCAATCATCAATCATCAATCAATCCCTCACTCTCTCAATCAGCTTACAACAATTCCATCACCTTCAGTCTCCTCTAGTAGACACTAGCAAAGTAGCAAAACTGAGCTGCTGTGTGAGTCCGTCTCTTTTGGGTCCGAGGAGGAGGATGAATCTCTTACATGCCATCTGACTCTGTCTCTGTGTTTTGATTTGTCGGGATCCGATCAATCAACTGAATTGAATTGAGTAATGAGGGAAGATGATGAGTCCAATTGGTTCTCCAGATGGGAGGAAGAGCTGCCTACTCCCGACGAACTCATGCCCTTATCCCAAACCCTAATCACTCCTGATCTTGCCCTCGCCTTTGACATCTCCCACCAACACCCTCCTCCTCCCCATTCCCAATCCCAACCCCAACCTCAACCCCCCCACACACCCCCTCCCCCGCCTCCTCCTCCCAATTCCCTCCCTCCCGCTACCCCCACCCACCCCAACTCCTCCGCCGACTTCGCCGACTCCGCTGACTTGGGCTCCGGTGCCGCCGGCGATGAGCCCGCCCGCACCCTCAAGCGCCCCCGCCTCGTCTGGACCCCCCAGCTCCACAAGCGCTTCGTCGACGCCGTCGCCCACCTCGGCATCAAGAACGCCGTCCCCAAGACCATAATGCAGCTCATGAGTGTCGACGGCCTCACCCGCGAGAATGTTGCCAGCCATCTGCAGAAGTACCGTCTTTATCTCAAGCGGATGCAGGGCTTGTCTGGAGGTTCTGCTGGGGGTGCCGGCGCGGGTGCCGCTGGCTTGGCCGCCTCTGCCGATCCCGCCACTGACCATTTGTTCGCCAGCTCCCCAGTTCCAGCTCATTTCCTGCACTCGCACCCTGGGGGGCGGCCCAATTCCGAGCATTTCTTGCCGTTTGTGCCGGTGGCTCTGCAGCAGCACCACCATCACCAGCAGCAGCAGCAGCAGATTGCAGCGGCAGTGGCAGCCCATCCGCAGTATCACAGGCAGGTGGGGCATTTTGGGTCGCCACCAAATGGGCAATTCGAGCACCCATTCTTGGCGAGGCAGTCTTCACAGCCGGTTCATAGGATGGGGGCACCGCTGCACAATTCAGTGCCAGGCTATGTAGAGGACTTGGAATCAGCGAATGCAACTGGTGGCAGGAAAGTTCTTACTCTATTTCCAATTGGGGATGATTGAATTAGGGTAAATGTCATCACTTTGTTCCCTTTTTTTTTTCTTCTCATTCCATCTTTCTACTGTTAAGTTCATTTTAATTTCTGGGTCATGTGAAAATTGGTGTCTGGTTGTATTTGTTGGAAAATACACTAGATTTCCTTGTTGTGTTAGCGGGTGGTTTGGGCTTCAGATGAGATCTGTGAATCCTTATTGCGGATCCAAAATTTCTGGTTATTATTCATTTGTTGCCATCGGGGTTTGTTTTGCTGTCCTTATGAGTTCAGTAGTGTTAGGAGGGGTGTATCCATGTGTCCTTTTCTCTGGACTGCTACTTGTGTAATTATATTGCTGGTTGCAGTCTATAATCTATATCTGGGGATAATGATTGTGATGTCATTCGAGCGACATTGATTCAAGCTCTTCTTTGGTAAAAATCATAGTGGTATCATGACGGTCAATCAATCCAGCTTTCTTAGACGTTCATTTCTACCTTTTTATATAAGGAATCAACTGGGGTTTCTTTCAAGTCAGAGTTTTCGTGCTGTCGAGGTTTTCTCATTGGTATGGCTGGTAGCCTGGTAGGATTGGAGGAAGCAACAGTTAACTAATTTTGAGCTTGCAATGAGGATAAATAATGCTATCAAAAGTGCTCCTTGGCTTCTCTAGATATCTAAAGATGCAGTTGGTAATTGTGTTTGGACGTATTTGGCACCGCTTTTCTTGGCTTTTGGGAGTTGTGCCGTGTATCTCTTAGTTTAGTATCATATAGGGGCAAGTTTTACTTGTTGTACATTGTGTAAGTTTGTGGACAACTTAAACCCCCTGATGCTAGGGGTCTGCTGAAACAATTCTGATTTTATTAGAAGGTTATCTTAATGCTTCTTGATCTTTTATTTTGATCTGGCTCTATATCTTTCGTTGGTGCTTTTATCGCTTTATTGCTCATATCTTCTTTCATGTTTGCATCATATAAGTCATTCAGATGTTTTTTATTGTTTGAGGGTTCCCTTGCTTATGGACTGGGATATAGGTTTTGCTACAAGGTCCTCTATTCTTTCTTGTTCAGTATTGAAACGTAAACACATAAAAATGATTGGCAAACCTAGATCACTCAGTTTCAATTCTTTTTGGTTAACATTGTAACAGTTTAGACAAAAGTGAATAGAATTTTTATTTTTATGAATAGATTAGTTGAGCGAGCAGCATCCTTGAAATGACGAATATGTGAGAGTCCCATTGAGTTACTGCCTGTAAATTTGTAATGCAAGTGACCAAATTTAGATGTTATGCAAATGGATTGGGAATGGCATTTACAGTAAAATATTATAGTATTAGATCCCCGTTTAAACATTAAGCTTGATGATAATATTAGTAGAGTTACTTCTTTGTCACATAATTTATCAGCTTAAAAATGAAAGTTCAAAAACTTCAAAGTTCAAACTATATAGAGTTTCAGTGGGTTGTTATAAAATTTAAGTGATGATATTCTGTCTGAGTTATTGTAACTGCATAGTGAAAGAAGATGGACACTAGTTATCCTAGTACTCCTATGTAAGATTTGAGGTTTGGGTTACATTTTTAGTTTCTAATTCCATGAGATTACTTTTAGTTAGGCAAAAGTTTGAATTGTGCATCGTATTACATCTGTCTTACTTACCACCCATGGTTTTGGCTTACCTGTCCAGCTTGCAACTTGATATTGTAGTTAAGCCTAGAATGAAGAGAAATCTACATAATCTTGTAATTATCGTATGCTACATTCTTTCTGTCTATCTCTTAATCTGAGTGGTGGATAGAAGGATTATTATTTTATTTTATTTTTATGAGTGCACGCTTCTTTCATGAGAAATTACTGCTGTTGAAGTTGTATGTGATTCTAAATGTAGAGGTAAATTCACATCTGAAACTCTCTTTTATAGCTCATATCTCTTGGACAGGTACAGTAATGCGATGATATTTTAGACTTCCATCTTGTTTTCCTCGTATGATTCATTAGATTGTTAAACCAAATGTGACGGTGAACCTCTTAGAAACTTGAATTATTAAGTTTGATCTATCTCATGTACTCCACTTCACTAGAGCATTTTATTTTCTTTAACCTGGCAACCGCATAGAAAGAAGAAGCTGATTTGAAACTTGCTTGAAGCTTCTGGAATCTCTGGATTCGAACACATACAATGTTATATTAGTGTTGCAATAGCGATAACATATCCCGTCCTCCTTTTCTTTTCCTTCTTCTTCTTAATTGGTGCTTCTTTACTCCCCTTGGTATGCTGCAATTTCGATGAATGCATGTATTCCTTTAGAAAAACTTGGGTGGCCTGGCTTGTTGATCCGGTGCTGGTTTATGTGTGGATTTGTTTTTACACAGTTTGATGATGATGATGGACTTATAACTGGTTGATGTTATTTTAATGACCGTAGACGGATATTATTGGTGCGGTGCTTTGAACTTTTCTCTTTGCTTTGCAATCGTATGAAGTTTCTCAAGATTTTCCTAGCTAGTAAGTAGCAAGTATACTATCTTATTATCTTTGACAGCCTTACATTGAGATTTTAGAAGATGCCAACCAAGAGACATGTTGAGCTACAGGAGGGTGGAAAGCACGCCAGATCTCACAATATATATATATATATATATAGAGAGAGAGAGAGAGAGAGAGAGAGAGAGAGAGAGAGCCGCCTTTAAAGAAGGGATTCCATTATTTTATAAAAATGAGGATTAATTGTGAGACCTATATCACATCGAACTTTAACGATCCGAACAGTTTATTTTCAAGATGCACTTACACCACATCAAACTTTAACGATCCGAACTGTTTATTTTCAAGATGCACTTCATAGATTATCCTTACAAAATATTAGCCAAATCAGAAATATTTGAGGCATCTTATTCAGTTCAAAGAAATTAAACAGGCAAATGATTTCAAATTGAATTGAATTTTGCTAGGATGATCTATGAATTGAGACTTACAAAATAGATGGTTCAGATCGTTAATGTTCGAAATGGGGTTGGTCTTCCAAGTAATCTCCATTTTAAAAAAAATGGATATCCCTTCCATTATTTTTATTTTTATTTTTATTTTATTTTTATCGAAAGGATCCCTTCCATTATTAGATTGACATTATAGTTATTATTAACTTAAGTAAAGATTCCCTTTGAGGCTGGTCCAATCCAAACGAAGGAAGAAAGGTCTTGGCCATTGAGTTTTAAGTTTTAATTATGCATTGGAAACTTGTATGCAGAGTGAAACCGCATTGACTTGAGCTAAACTATCATGTTTATGTTTATAGTTTAGGTACCTATTCAAATGTCAGCCAAAATAATTCTATAAATACTAATATAATTCACAATAATTACATGATTGTCGCACAATCGTAACACATTTTTTCGACTATCAAACTTTTTTGATCAATTTTTTCGGAGGTCAGCCAATCAGATTTCAGGTCTTAGTGTCACTGTCTAACAGTGACCATAAAAAAAACCATGTTAAGTAATGAATTTTCTCATAAGTTCTCTAATTTCAAGAATTGACTATAATGCTCACATGTACTCAAAACATTCATCATCTAATATATATTCATGTGAATATATGTATTTAATACAATCATAATTTGACAATGGGTATGTAATTGTATTAAATACATGTAAGTATTGTAACAAAATCCCTAATTTTTGTGTGTATACATATAAAAAACAATAAACTCACACAACAAAACATTATTTAAGATGAAAAAGTTGTACATATTGTTTAGTGACTTGAAATTCTCCAGCGACCGGGAAAAAATTTCGGCCACAATGACGGTGGTCGACGACAATTTATGGCACTAACACTGGTAGCGTGTCTGTCATGTGCAATTTGGACAAAAATAGAATTGTTTTTGTGCTTTATCCAAATAGAATGGGAAAGGGAGTGGTAGTTTTCCTTGAAGTTGGTATTTTTCTTTAAAACCTATATTAAAATTGATATTTATTCGTCTTTATTTCATTTATCTTTTCATGTTTCTCACTTTAAGTTGTAAGCTTAAAAATACATGTATTTGTAAGGTATAAAAGAGATGTAAGTTGTTTGAATTATAATATGGAAACTTGAGTTGTAAGCTCATTTAAAGTGCCTTGCTCTTGTTTAAGAGTTGTTACTTTGTTTCTAGTTGTCTACGTTGTAGGCTGGTACTAGAGACAAGGTTTGAGGTTTTCAGGTCTCTCCTTACACTTGAAGATAATGGACCATACCTATCTATCATATGTATTCATTCTAATTCATATTAATTCTATAATTGTATTTCTCACCACATTGCTCCCTGAATTAGTTGGTATTAGAGCGTGAAATACATGCATGGTAATACTAAAAGAGATGTAGAAGTTATTTGAATGGTAATAAATTTTGAGTTGTAAACTTATTTTAAGTGTCTTGGTCTTGTTTAATTTATATTAATTCTAGCATTTTATGTCAAGACTTTTCAACTAAAGTATTTCATAGAAGAATAGAAGTAGGAGGAGGAGGTTGTATGAAACAAATTACATGGGGCTTTTCAAGGCAAACTAAATTATAACCTCATCCTCCTCCTACTTCTATTCTTTTATGAAAATACTTTATTTGAAAGGTCTTGACATCCTTTAGCATTACTCTACAATATTTTGTAGCCATTCTCGACAAGCCTCAACAAATAATAGTAGTTGTCGACATATGTTGGCATAAACTATTGGCATATGGTGACAGGAATCAGCAAGTGTCTACTAGGTGCTCGACAAAATAACCCAATGAAGCTTTTTTGGATGATACTATGACCCCATTATTTGAAAATCCTGACTACACTACTGGTTGTGTCTAAATTTACTGATTGGATCAGCTATGTAACATTCGGGGTTGGAGAAAAGTGAATCATATCGAGTTTGGACAAGAAATTAGGATCTGGTCACGAATGTTGTATGGCCATGGTTTATTCCTTTGTACGAAGAAAGTAAGAAACAATAAAACTAAAAGAAAGAACTGAGACATTGGGTTCCAACGTCAAAGGAAGATACAAGGGACGCTTATGTTTATGTTTGACTGTCTTCAAGATTTTGTGTTCTTTTGTTTATGTTTTATATATTCTATTATTTAAATTTGGTTGTAAATTCAATTGTTCTTGTTCGAATGAAACAATAATATGTTTACAAAATAATAAATTCCATTAAATGAATGTTTTACGATTACAATCTTTTAAGTAAATTATTTACAAGAATTGATCTTTTAATTTCATCTCCAAAGGTGTTTGAAAATAACAAAGTGTGAGTTTAATCCAAGAACTATAGAAGTAGCGACTACCTTTGAGCAAATCAAGAAAAGGTTGAGCTCGGCTCCGTTGCTCGTGCTACCTAACTTTTCAAAAGATTTTGAGCTATCTTGTGATGTGTACAAGATTGGTGTTGTGGTTGTTCTAATTCAAGAAGTGAAGCTTGTTTCTTATTTCAGTGAAAATTGAGTAGTTCAAGATTGAATTATTCCACATATGACTTGGATTTCTATGCCATTGTTCAAGCATTGAAGTATTGGAGGCAATATCTGATCTACAAAGAGTTTGTTATGTACTTTGATCTCGACTCTTTAAAGCATATGAACATCCAGGCAAAATTGTTAGCGAGACATGCTAAATGGGCATCATACTTGCAAGAATCTACATTCACCTTTAAGTACAAAGATGGTGTGCCAAATCAGTTTGCAAAGCCTTGAGTCGAGAAATTTTTTACATGGCTCAATGAAAATTGACGGTGTGGTGTAGACTGTTTTGGGTTTTCCTCGCACTCAGTGTGGTGTAGACTCAATTTTATTGTGGTTGATCATTTTTTTGAAAATGGCTCACTTTATTGCCTATAAGAAGACAAGAGATGCTTCAAAAGTTGTTGAGCTATTCTT